GGCTGGAGGAATTAAGATTTGGAGCTTGGTAGTCTTGTGATGGCTCTGGGTTTTCTACCCTAACCCTATCTGTACACTAATTAAGAAACTATCTCCTAATCCGGTCATACATGGGACATCTACGTACCAGTTTTGTAACTGAATGATAGTTACCCTGAACCTCGAAGTAAGCCCTCCATTTCAAAGCTCAAGCCCGAACCCGCTTCTGGGATATGGCTCAGGTGGACCTCCCGACCCTGCAATCGCGCTGTAATAGGATTATAAGAAGACCCTGATATAATTCCCATTATTCCTTAATAGCCACTACTACTGGGTGGGGGGTCCACCTAAGATATGGCATCTTGGACAACCCCTAGGCGGTGTATGCAGTAATGTAAGAACAGTTGACGAGACCATCAACCAGATGAACCCTCAGCCTGAGACCCCCAACTCTAAGGGTCCAAGGACCCAAAGAATAGGGTTCTTTCTAGGGCCTAAATATTGTAATATGAATGGTATTTGGGCCCGAAAACCCTATTATTTGGGTCCTTGGACCCTTAGGGCAAGACCGTCACCTTCAGCCCCAGAACCCTAAAATCCACTTTGGAAGGTTCAGAAAGGGATTTCTAGCTAGCTTCAGCATAAGGTCCTTGCAATGAAGGTCCCTTAACTTAGGTACCCCCGCCGGCAAGCCCAGAAGCCGACGCAAGCCCCTGTGCTCAACATCCTAACCTCAGTCCCCAAACCCTACATTTTTAGGGGTTTAGGGTTTAGGGCCCCGAGCCATCCGCCCTTGAAAAAAAGCTGAGCCCATGCTGAGCGTGACTGAGGTAAACCATAAATCCACAGGTAATAACGCGACTTTTGCTATGCCAACATCTATATTCAGGACCCTTTAACTGTCACATGACAAGAACAGGGTCCTGATTTTAGGTGCCCCTAACCCTAAGCCCTATAAGCGCTAACCGCTCCTCTTTTCGTCCAGAAACCCACGAGTTTTTTCTCGGAATGCATCTGCGACCCCCCTTGCCAGCACTGGGGTCTAGGGTTTAGGGAATTGTTCTAAACCCTAAACCTGTCCCCCAAGGGGCTCGGCAGGGGGCTATAGTATCACCGACTACCTTTTGCGGGCTTCATGGTGGTGACTGTTACTGTGAGTGGAGAGCAAGACCTCAGGTTTAGGATTTCACGGTACAGGGATTCATGCTTAGGATTCAGGACTTAAAGGGTTCATAGGATTTCTTATCGGGACTATGGGGATTCAGGGTTGAGGGTTGAGGATATAGAGCTTTGACTTCCTGTAAGGCTACATGGAAGCCTGAACGAGCCCTAGAAAACTAACATCCTGGTATAGTCTCCCTTAAGTAGATAGAATATGGCTTTGGGGACATTATAATACGATCCCCATATACTGCAAATCCTATCTACTTATTTGAGGGGGACTATAGAGCTTACCCTTCCACTAAACCCTTAAACCCTAATTCCTGGCTGACATGGAAGCCCAAAAGCCCTACACAACTAACATCCTGGTACCTGGAAGACTCGGCATCTTAAAGTGACCTCACTCGACCTCACCTTAAATGCTGCTTTAGGGCTTAGTTTAGGGTTTACGAAGAGTATCAACATGGCCTTAAGCTGGGAATTGAAATTGTTCCAAATTTTCCCCGGCAAGAGCGGGCGTCCATGTTTGTTTGGGCGAGTTTACAGCGTTGAGGGTTGAGGGGTCTAGGATTCAGGGGTGTTGAGGATTTATGGCTTGTAAGGCTTGTTGGTATGCCAAATCAATTTTGGGCGGACGAACCCTTGCAGGGAACAGCCATTAACGCACTGAGGGGATGTTTTACATGCTCTGGAAAGTACAGTCAGAGCAGTGCTAAACCACATGCATGCATCTTAGGCCCAAAAGACATGTAGTTTCAATAGGGTTCTATAGTAGCCCAACTGGAGGTTGTCGGGTGAAAGGTAGAATAACCTATATACCTAGGAAAGTTCAAATGTATTGTAATTAAACTTCGTGTATATTGACCTTCCTTGTTAGGGGTCGAAGGTTGCTCTAGGAGCATCTTAATCCTAAACTCTCAAACCTAAGCCCCAAAAAGTGGTAGACCACAGGCATGCGTTGCATCTCAACTTCCAGCCTGGTGCTCCAAGCGCCTAGAAACCTTAGGGTTTAAGGTTTAGGGCTTAGGGTTTAGGGAGTTAGTATAGATGATGGTTACATAGGGTTATATAGGGTTCTTAAAACTAGGAGTCTCTTCCTGGAGGTCTCTATAGTAAGCATTTCATTTTGGGGGGGTTCTTTGTTCGGGTCCCCTATTGACGGAAACTAGCGGCGTTGTAGGTTTGTGTTTTTAGGAATGGCAACATCCAATGGAAACTAAATCTTGCAGGATGGCAAGAAGCCCCGGGCGTCCACTTTCTGAAAGGTCAATGATATGGAGCTTAAGGTGTTTCAGCCCTAAACTCTACGGACCTACTCTTTCCCATGCTAACTCTACGCACCTACCCTTCCCTAAACTGACGTGGACCCCCCCGCAGGAATCCCCCTTTAAAGGGGGCCATGTACAGGGTCTCTTTTTGTGATTCGATGTTCGTTTGGGGGGGGTTAAGCCTTAAGCCTTGAGCCCAACATGCGCGCTTTCCACGCAGCCCGCGGCAGCCGCGGCAGCATGAACCAGGCCTACACAGCTTAGGATTCAAGGGTGCTGGGTTGGTCTAGGGTTTAGTGTGCTAAGGAAAATGAGATTCGGAGTCCGTCTCAGGGGCAGTTCAAGATTCTGAGTTTCTTGCGGGGCTGTACTTCTTGTTTAAAGGGAGTTTCTCAACACCACCTGCGTAGAAGCCTTAACAGGAGCCCCGAGTTTGAGTGATTCTTAACACAACAAGCCCACCAGCAGCCCGCCAGCAGTATTTCTTTACCTACCGGTTGGGTCATATCAAGCATGTAGTGGGTTGAGGTTACCAAGCTGTAGGAGATCCCTGAAGCCCAAAACCGAGTGTAGGGCTTAGGGTGTAGGGCTTAGGGTTTAGGGTCTTAGAATTTAGGGTTTAGGGCTTAGGGTTTAGTAGGGTTTAGGGTCGAAGGTTTGGGGTTTTGGGTTTAGGGTCCTAAACCTTGCTTAAGCCTCATATCTGTACCGAGCTTCTCAAGCCCTGGCCTTCTTGCGCCAGACCTGAAATCTGGATTCCTAAGCCAGCGGAATTAATTGAAGAGATGCTGGCTCCTGAACCCCAAAATTGAAATCTGAACGCGAATCCCACGTCCTGAACAGTATCTTCAAACCTTAGTCTACAACCATAAGCCCCTAAACCTTAAACCTATACTAAACCCTATAGACCTGAACCCCCACTCCTGAACCCTAAGTCCTAAACCTCTAACCCAAACTCCCTAAGCCCTAAACACCTTAAAACCCTTTACATGCTAAAGCCCCCTAAACCCTAAACCCTAAACCCTAAACCCCAAACGCACTCCGTAGCAACTTCAAAGGCTCCGGGGCAGCTCGCAGAGCAACTGCTGCAGCTTCAGCGGCCTGCGAAGCTTCACATGGTGAAGACTTAGGGTTTAAGTGTTAGGGTTTAGCGTTCGAGGTTTAGAGTTTAGGGTTGAGGGTTTAGGGTTGAGGGTTTGAGGCTCGCGGTTTAGGGTACAGGGTAGTTGGGTGGCCGCAGGGTCGTAGAGTTGTTTTCCGCAACTTTTGTTCACCTGTACTCAGCTTGTGCTGCTGTTTTGCACTAGTTGCGCACTTAGCAATCTGCAGTTCAGGTCAAAACAAGGGCAGCGATGGCAGCTAACCCAACTCATAATATAAGCCACAGAGAGTGCTTCGGTGCCTGTATTTTTGCAGTCCGAAGCCGAGTCTCGAAGCCTCCAACCCTCACTCTTGAGTCCTACAATCCCCCTTAAGTAGATAGAATATGGGGTATATAGGGATCTAACTATAATATACCCAAACCCATGTTCTATCTACTTGAGGGGGGAATATGAACTAAAGATTCTGGGCCTTAAATCCAAAAGCCTAAGCCCACATTGCCGCCCAGGAGCAGGCAGGCTGTTCAGAAGCTTGTTGGCCCAGATCTGATTCGCCGGCGAGATGCCAAATTCATCCGCCCTGTATTGCAAGCTCTGAAATCTCAGAATCGAGTTGATGTGGTCGTTCCACTCTTTGACGTGCTTTCTTCAAGCAAGCTTGAAGTAGGCCTGCGTGACTACACCACGGCCCTCAGCATATGCGCAAGTGCAAAGCAGTGGCCGATGGCGCTGCATCTTTTTGCGGGCATGCAGAAAGCCAAGGTTGATCCCAATGTCATCAGCTACAGCGCGACCATTAGCTCCTGTGAGAAGGGGCAGCAGTGGCCGGTGGCCGTGCATCTTTTTGCGAGCATGCAGAAAGCCAAGGTTGCTCCGGATGTCATCAGCTACAGTGCGACCATCAGCTCCTGTGAAAAGGGGCAGCAGTGGCCGATGGCGCTGCATCTTTTTGCAGGCATGCACAAAGCCAAGGCTGATCCGGATGTCATCAGCTACAACGTGACCATCAGCTCCTGTGAGAAGGGGCAGCATGCAGTGGCCGATGGCGCTGCATCTTTTTGCAGGCATGCAGAAAGCCAAGGTTGATCCCAATGCCATCAGCTACAACGCGACCATTAGCTCCTGTGAGAAGGGGCAGCAGTGGCCGATGGCACTGCATCTTTTT